GAACAACGGAGCGGCGGAGGAAGTGAAATAGACAGATGGAAGGCGTCGACCTATGCCTTGATTTGATGAATTTGATGATTTATGAATTTGCTCCGTATCTTTCAAATACCCTCCGAAGCCAAATTTCAACGCTTAATTTTCCTGCAGAACTTTCGTGAAATGTTTAGAATTATACCGAAGCTTTCTCATCCTCCCCCTCCCTCCTGCCCCGCGTTTCCTCTTCTTTTCTATCCCCTCACTCCTCTTCCCAGCTTTACCCATCCGCACTTTTTAGCTAAAAATGCAAAAAGCAAGAGTTAGCAGCATCTACAGTCGGTAATTTTTTTTTCACTTTTCTCATCAAAAAGACACCGCTTTCTTCCCGTCCCCTCCTGACTTCGAATTTTGCAAAAATTTCACACAGTTATGAAGGTACGACAAAATTTTTATACGATATAAAGATGATAAATCAGAATATTTCTTCACTTTTTTTCTTCTTTTATTAAACCCAACATTTTCAATTCTCTTAAATCTTAATTTTTGCTAATTCAGATCTTTCAGAATTAGCAAAAAATTTAATTTTTACAAGATTACAAGGTAGAAATTACAATATTTTTATCAAGTATTGCACCGTAAAAACGTGTTTTTTTCGTAAAAAAATTAAAAATTTTCATGGTTTCTCACGTCAAAAAAAAAATTTTTAGCTGAAAATGGAGAACAATGCGCTTCAGAAAATCCGCAAGCTCAAAATGTAATTAAATTTAGACAGAAGAACTTTTTGTATTAATTTTATGTTTGATAAAAAAAAAAAAGCAAGAGTAGCAAATGCTCAAGACGAGATGATAATGCCCGAACACAGGTCAATAACATCTCGAAATGGCCAAAGTCTTGCCAAGTGCTTTTTCAGACAGAACCTTAACGTGGCAAACTTTTCGAAGTACCGAAAATGGACTTTAAGATTATTAACGAGGTGATCATCGAACGAAGTAGCACTGGTCAAAGCAATTGGAAAAAATTGCCAGCCGTATACTGGGAGATTCAGATTTTGGAAATATCAACTGTTCAAATTAATACTTTAGGAACTGGGAAAAGAAAACAAACCATATCCACTTGGCGCGTGCACCTTTTTGGTTGATCTTGCACCGTTCGCGAGTTCTCGGATCATGAGTTAGCAAACCAGCTGGAACTGATTACTTTAGAATTTTACATATTTTGAACTCTTTTTACCCCACTAACTGGCCAAGTTCAGAATCACAAAACATAGATTTGCCATTAATCTTACTTTAACACAGAATGCATCCAAACATGTCTTCTTGCACGTGATACACAGATCGATCCCTTATCTTCTATTCGATCATTTTAACATTTTATGTAATACGCTCGAAAATCAACTTAAAATGCAGTTCCGAATTCGATAACATATGGAATATGATTTCATGCGCATGTTTTTTTTTCTTTATGCAAAATTTTACAGAATTTAAATTTCTTACAGCTACTAAACTCATCATCGGTGTGATGTTTTATTGCAGTTCTGAAGCTGTAGCGTTCAAGACGGGGTATTGCTGCTCAACATACACCAAAGACATTTAGAAATGGTGAGGTCTAATTGTGGTAATGGTAAGAAATGTATACGACTTAATGGACCGGAAGATTTCTTACCTACTTTATTATTTCTATTTATATCTTTCCTTTTTCATTCCTTTTTGATACATTAGGTGAATCCTTTACAGAACAAAAGGATGTCGGGATAATTTCACAAGGAAATCATCAATCGCCGACAAGCTGATCATCAGGCAATGCAGTAGTTGTCAAAACAATTGGTCACCTGCACAGCCCGAGTTTCAACAGATCAAAGCGTCAAAACATTTTAACTTCGACGCAAAATTTCACAAAAAAAAAAGAAATTTAAGTTTTTTGCATTACTTAAATTTTTCACATTTCTGTACTCATATTTCTCAGAAACGCAAATCTTTCGATTTTTTTTTTTGAATTTTTTTAAAAAAAAACCATAATAAACAAAAACATGGCTATGTTAGTACGGAATTTACTAAGATGAGGGACAGGATAAAAAGTACCTAGTCGTAGTTTGTCAAAATGCTCAGGAAACAGTGCGGCAATACACAGAGATGCGCCTTGACGGATAACTCGAGGTATAACCGAGGTACCGCCTGGGCCATCTGTGATGTTACCAATTATATCCAATTCTCCCAGCAGATCCGTTACGATCAATGGTGTCATAAAAATTTCCCTTAAAACAACCAACATTAGCGAAGGAACCAAAAATTTGAAAAAGCGAAGAAATCAGTACAGTAAAAAATTTAAAAAAACGAAAAAAACAAAAGCAGGGAAGGACTGCTGACTGCCTGATCAGCGATAGATGATGCAATTTCGAACGTAGCAATAGTAAGGCGAATTATGAAGCAAGTTATGATGAAATTACAATCGAATAAAACATCAAAAAAATAAAACTAAGAATAATAAATAGCAACGCGAACCAGACTAGCCGGTGCGATCATGCGTTTTGTGCAATTCAGCCCACCGAAGGATTGCCTATTAATGATTTTCAGTGCTTCCTATTTTGGTCTATGCAAAAATAGTTCAAACATTGGAAAAAAGTTAAAAATTTCACACACCATCGCATGAAAACTGAATTCGAAACCTTGAAGGGTGAATATTTTTCCGTGATTCCCCAGTTAATATTTAACCCGCAAAAACTTCCACTAGCTCGTAGGTGATAGCCGAGAGCGCGGGAACGCTGAATTTGAATAGGCAAGGTTGAGTGTGGGCAGGGGGGTCACCACCCTAAAACTTCAGCCTCCTAGACTTCGTGGTTCCCAAGATATTAATTTACCCGTAAAAAACTTTCACGGGGCCATACATTTTACCCGCGGGTACGGGGAAGCTGAATTTAAATTTGCGGGGGTCACACGTGAGTGGGAAACGTTCCCCTAAATTTTCAGCTTCCTAGCTTTTGTGGTTCCTGAGTTGAAAGTTGCGAACAAGTTGCTGCGGACACACACACACACACACACACACACACACACACGCACACACACACAGCACAGACAACCCCGTGACAATATGCGTTTTGTACTGCTGTTACACAGCACAAAACGCATAACAAAACCCCCCCCCCGCTTCTCCACACTCCGGACAATCAGTGGTTGGTAATTCCATGTTAGTGATGTTACTGGGATGCTCCCATGTGCCAGACGCAGCTATACTAGAACCCCTTGATCTTGAACAGTTCGCGAGTGAAGAGAAAAAGCAACGCACAAAAATACTCCGAAGACGAGAAAGGAAAAAATTCCGTACAAAATGGAATAAAAATTGAAAAAAAAAGGATTTTTAATGATTTTTGGGCTGATAATTATGTTACCTTGCTTGTAATGATCGAAAATATTCAAGGCCATAACCATCCACAGTGTAGAGGCCAGTTCCATTGTCTCTCACTTCAACTTTAGCGTATGTTGCTTTCAGATTCACTTCCGCCTCAGCCATCCGTCGCTCAGTGCCTTCTATCAATCGCACTGGTGGTATCTGAATCAGGACATTTTTACTGCATTTCAGCTTATTCGATTTATCATTAATGTGAATGTAAATTATTCGGTTATTACAACAGAAGCATCTTTTCCGTCCTCTAAAAACATCTGATTAAAAAGGAAATTAAATTTCAGACAAAATTAAGCTTTAAAAAAAATTAAACCCAAAAATTAAATTCATTCTAGTTAGCGATGCTCAGCACTTATCTAAAGACATTCGAAACGGTTAA